TGTGCCGCCAGCTGTGTGTGTCAGTGTGGCTGTCTGTCTGTATGAACACTCTGCTATACTCCCACCCACCGGATGTATTTGTTTGTTGCTCATCCATCTCACCACACACACACAGGTCGTCCAGGCCAGCTGCCTCATGACCTGGACAGACGCCAGGCAGCCAAGTTTTGATCCGTTCTTGCCGCTTCCTTGCTGTCTGTCGTGTTATTTGTGTCGGGCTGAGGGGTCGCCGTCTTTCTGCCGACGGCGGCGGCCCCAATCATCTGTCGATAGGACGACTTGCCATTCACTCACTCAGTCAGTCACTCACACGACCTGTGGATGTATGGCTTCCCTCCCTCCCTCCCTATGCTGCTTTGCCAGCAATGGTTTAAGTGTGTTTGCCCTCGGCGACCGATCCGATGTTCACGTGCACCAGTGAAGGACCCACACTGACTGACTGATGGATGGATGGATGGATGGATGCGTGTATTTGTCAGCTACTCGCCCCCCCTCAGCCCTCCCTGTCTGTCTGTGTCTGTCAGTCAGTCTGCCCACCTGTCGTCGTGCAAAGGCCAGAGGGAAATGACTGACAACGGCACCAGTGGCGTGGGAGGGGGGAGGGGGGAGGGAGGGAGGCACCTGCAGTGCACCAGGGACTTCTACTCACTCTCTCTCTCTCTCGCAGCCGCCAGCCACACACATATACATCGATGTGTGTGCTGTTCGTCTGGGTCGTGTGGAAGTGGCGGAGGGAGAGAGGTCCACGTGTGGTTTAAGCCATCGATCGCATCCACACACACAATGGCCCTCTCCTGGCCTGGCCTGCATTCGTACCTCTCTATGTATTATGTGCCCTCGTGTGTACGCTGACTGACTGCATCGATGTGGTGGGCGGGGAGCTGCCTGCCCATCCCGTCCGCCACTTGGTGAATTACCTGTGGGCGGCTGTGTCGACACACATGGCCGGCTGCCAATACTCACTCAGTCACTCACTCATCTCATCTGTACTTCTCGCCCGCGTCAGCCAGGTATCTTTGCATCTCGTGGTGTGTGGTGTTGTGTGTTGGAGGGTCAATTGGTGGCGGCTGACTGAGCGCGCGGACTGCATTGCCTGCCACCCACCAGACAATGCTGTCGATTTATGACCCATTGCTTTCATTCTGTGTGGGTACGTTGACCTTCCTGCCGAGTTGCTGAATTGTTTTGCCCTGCCGCACTCTCTCTGCTTTGTAAACTGCCGTCGCTCATACCCACCAGGGACACACTGATGAAGCTGCCCCTCACACACACGAGGCTGTTTTGGTTGTATTATCGCTGGCTGGCTGATACGTTCCTTCCGGTGCCTGTCTGCCTTGTCTGTCTGTCCATCTGCGGTGCTGTGCTGTGCTGTCGTCTCCGCAAAGGCGCCGGGAAGACACACACACACATCCAGTTGTGCGGTGTACATAATATCACTGACTGACTGGCTGGCCCACTCGGTCGTGTAGATCCGTCTGTATGTAATTCGACCACATCGACTGACTGCATCGGGTGAATGCCATTCTTTTCCCATTTGTGCGCATCTTCGGTGCGGCCACATGACATTGGCCCACCGATCCGGTCCACTCGTGTGGCTGCTTTGACCTCTCGGACACTGACAGACAGATACGCGCCAGACTGACACAGAGAGAGAGAGAGAGTTTCTGTAAGTGTTGCGTTGCGATGGCTGAGAGTGTGTCGTTTGCTGGCTGTATGAGAGTGGCCCGTTTTGCTCGGTGTCATGCTTCCACTACGCTGATGTGCTGCCAATGGCTTAAACGGACGGATAGGTGGGCGGGCGGATGACGGGCGCCTCGCTGTGTCATCGGACAGACAGACAGACAGACAGGCATCTCCCTCTCAGTGTGTTCCATCCTTCCAAGACACACCATGTCGCCCATTGCACTCTGTGCTGTCTTCATTGTGTTTGCGTGACTTGCCAGACCCCCGCCCTGCTGACCGCACTGCATGGCGCTATACATACGTGCCGATACTTGACGCCACCGCACTCTCACACACCCCAGCCGAGTGTGCTGATGGCGAAGGGGACTCATTGCCTTCGTCTTTTTGCCTTTCTTGCCGGTCACGGCGGCCGTCAAGAGGCCCCCAGCCCCCCGGGCAGCCCAACAGGCCCTCGGCAGCGGCCGCAGAAGCCGATCGAGTGAGGATCGAATGGCTGATTTTCTCAACAGTGGCAGATTCGTTTTCTGATATTATTGGCCAGATGCCTTCTCTCTGTGATTGCGCTAACGGATCTGATGAGAAAACCGCACCGAAAGCCGAGCAAAGGAAATCCGGGCCATTTTTTCAGCTCGCAAGCCTGAAGCCTTTCCTCCATCTCAATGCCTTTGATTACACAGCTGCGAGAGCCTTTCACACCAGCATGATGCAGAGTTGCTGCGATTCTGCTGCCTGATTTTCCTGCCTGCCTTTAGGACGTTGTCAACGGGGTGCATGAACAAGGAGCCAGATCAGATCAGGGCCTCTCGTTTCTCTCTATATTCCTGCAGTCTGCAGCCACAAGACCTCCTTCGGATAGATCTGCATCTGACGACCCCCATTACAGAGCTGTCGCGTCATCGACTCGGAGACGATGTGGGGGCCTCCCCCAAGTGAGACTGCTGCGATCCGCTGAAGTATCGCAGTGTGGTTGAGATGGCGAGCAGCGGCCAGAGGACGGTAAGCAGACGACCACCGAGGCGGACGCTGCGGGCGTTTGTGCATTACACTACGGGCTGTGCTTCCATCTTCTTCTGCAGGTAGCGCCCGCCTTTTACAAGTATCAAACCCCGTAAGTGGCAAGCGAAGGCAGCAGCTGAACAGTAAGTGTTGCGGCAATGTTCGACACGAATCAATCGGACAGGCGTCTCGCCGCCGCCAAGTACAAGACAAGGATGTGCCAGTACATCAACAGCCCCTGGGGCTGCCTCGACGCAAACGTGAGGATCCAGTTGCCTGAGTGCACGCACTGTGGCCCATGCTGTGTGTACTTTTGTCTCTTCATTTCCTCCCGAGTGCAGTGCCCGTATGCCCACACCCAGGAGGAGCTGAGGGCGACGGAGAGCAAGCAGCAGCTCAACAAGGCGACGAGGGGCGTCAACAACTCGTCGAAGAAGAAGAGGAGCAAGGCGAGCCGGAGGAAGAAGCGCCAGGCAGCGTAAGGCGGAGCACGACAAACGGCCGCTGTCTTCACATACACACATCGTGTCTCACATGGACGGTTTTCTGTTTGACTGACTGTTCCGACAGGGCGGCGGCGAGGGATGCACAGGAGCAGGGAGAGGAAGAAGAGTGAGAAGCAAGCCGATCGACCCGCTCATGCAGCCTGTCTGTCGACCTGGTGTGGCTTGTCTGTTCTATGCCCTTCAGGGATGAGAAGCAGCAGGAGGAGGGGGCCGACATGGAAGAGGGTGGGATAACATATAACGGCCGGACTGCCTGTCATTTGGACTTGTGTGTCTCCTCTCCGATGTCTCGTCAGATGAGGGCGAGGGAGGAGGGGAAGAGGGGGGAGGGGGCGAGGGATCAGGAGGGGGCCACAACTACCCACCCGACACCACATTCGCTAAACTGTCCGTGGGGCCACACACTGATTGACCGACCGATTCCTCTCTTTCCCTGCCTTCCTCCCATTTGTCTGTGTGTGTCTGTCACACAGGTACATAGGGAGGGCGTATGAGCTGTGGGGGAGGAGGGACGGGGGGGACACAAGGCCATTGGATCAATACTTCCCTCAAGCAAGGAGACAACAAACATATACATAATACAATGACACGCACTCACACACTCACCCACTCGCTCCCCGTGTGTGTGTAGGCCATCAAAGAAGTCGAGGCGGAGCTGCTGGCCGGGGTGGGGATGTCTGAGGAGGAGTTTGCCGCCCAGTGGGCCACCAATAACACTCGCAGACCTGAGACGACAGGCTTTAACTGATTATCATGTTCCTGTCTCTTCTTTCGCAGGAAGGAGAAGCTCGCCCACCAGCTCTCAGAGAAGAGCACTGCCCCCCACAACCAGGAGCACTACTACTTCACGGTACTTATGCGGATTTGGGTCAGAGGCACAACACACTTGATAGATACGAGTGCCCTTGTCTGTACTTGGCTGTGCACCAGGCCGAAGACCAACCGCGCGGGGGGCTGGTCAATCGGGCCATGAAGCGGGGGTAAGTGTATCCATGTTGTTGAGTCGTGTGCATGAATGTGAGAAGACTCCAAAGCGACAAACGGCGTAACGATCCATTTGATGCGAATCCCATGAACAAAAGACGCTTAGCGATACTCTCGATGTCCACAATCACTAAGCCAGAATCACTCGCCAGGCAGCGTGACATCTTCTCAAAGGACCAAATCAGTCAGATATAAATGCGGACAGCGATCGGCTGTGTAAGAAGGCCCTCCCTCCCTCCCTCCCTCCCTCTCCAGCCCTCATTGTCAAACAGTCGTCGAGCGAATGGCCCAGCCAAAAAGAAGCCAACAACAGCCAGGCACGACAAACAGACAGCCAGTCGTCCGGTCAGCCATCCGCACAACCAGCAGCCAATCTCGACAAGCAAGGGAATACAACGGGCGTGCCGTTGTGCGCAAGACGGGGCCCCGCCACCCCGCGACTGTCTCTTCGCGCGCCGCAGGGTGCGCGACGGAGGCCCAACACGCTGCAGAAAAAGAAAACGACAAAGCCAAACTCATCGATAGCAGCGACACACGGTGCACACACTGCGGCCGTCCATCCCCTCCTCGCCCTGTGCTGCTGCCTGCCTGCTGGTGGTCGTGTTGGCACAGAGGGAGACTATGCGGCCGGGCAGCATCGACAACAACACTGGGGAGGGGCGCCAAGTCACCACAGAAAGCGATGGGGTGCATGTGTGTGCAGTTTCGTGCGCGTGGAGGTACCTAGTGGCCGGTTGTGGGGGTCTGTCCGCCGATGCAGACACTGACGCCGAGAAGGTCCAGCTGCCGCTCAAGAGATCGACCCTACAGACACACAAGCAAAGAGGGAGACAGAGAGGTGGATGTCCGGGTGTCTGAATGTGCGGCGTGAATTCCGACATCAAAGTAGAGTCGGTGGGACCCGTCGTTGGCAACCAGTTGCAAAGAAAGGAACTTCATCACACCGCCGGCAATGGCCATTTGCCGTGAGGGGGTGCAGGGGCACTGCGGAGCACTTGGATCTCACAAGAACACCTGGACAGGGGAAATTCGCCATGTGTCGCACCTGAGCGGAATGGTAGATGGGTGTCGTGTCAGTACCTCAGCTGAAAGTACAGCGTTCTTAAAGAGAGCACGTCCAGCGACTTGATGAAGATGGCGCTTCACTGATCAACAGCACCCAGTGCTGTTCGCCATCTTGGCAGCTGTTGTGAAGCAGTTTGTTGATCTTGGCAGCAGTGGCCGCAGCACTGCCCTTGTGATCTGAGGCAGTGAAATGGGATCACTTCCATCATCTGAAGCAGAAACAGCATGCATCAGTCAATCATCGGTGCTTTTTTCTCTTGTACTTGAGCCGACCTCGCTCATTGCGTGCGTGAAGACGGCCATCCTTTGACTGCACAACGACCCTCCGCGATGCCATGTCAGCTCGAAATGCATGCAACTTTTCAAAAGCTCGCAAAAAAAGCGCTCTCTCTGAGGCGAGTGAGATGCCTTCCGTGACGTTTTCTTAGCGGCAGGCGAAACGGGAAGGACGAAGACCGAGTCCGAATCGTTGGAGGATGATCCTGCTTTCCATGCTGCGTATGGTGAGAGAGGTGGTCAGCGGCGGACGATAGAAGACGACGACAGCGGCACCCACATCGCTGCTCGTGTGACCATGGAAGCGATTGGCATCGGCGGAGAGTAGGACAGGACAACCGGGGCCTAACGATGGAAGCGGCAGGTGAAGTGCACTCACACAAGCGGAGGGAAGCAGGCGGGCATTCATCAGCCATGGCTGTCTTGTCCGTCTGTGTGGCAGGTGAGCGTGACGGTGGTGGTGCTGGCAGTGGGTCATCTGCGACTCGTCTGCCCGGCAGTGCCACTCATGCCGCGAACAATCAGGTGGGCACTCAGCACCGGGCTCATCTTGTCGCACCAACACGTGTGTGTGTGTGCGTGTGTGTGTGTGTGTGTGTGTGTGGCGCTCATGTCGTGCAGGCCGTCAGTGATCGTGACTTACTCCATCGCATGCGGGCGGGGCTGGATCTCATGCGTGACCTCGCCGACACACTGCAGACACAGGTATGCGCCCGGTCGCTTCCGTAAGCACGTGCCTCATGTATTGGCTTCTTATGTGTCAGTGCGTCGATCTGTCGGCGACCCGAGACGCCCTTTCTGGTCGGCTGTCTGAGGGGCTGATGCGCATCGAGTCGCAAGTCGACGACATGAGGCGAATCATCGACAGCTCACAGGTGCGGACGTCGACATATGTGCGGGATGTGGGTGCACTTGCATGGCTTCGTGTGGTGTGGTGTGCCCTCAGGTCGGTGCTGGCGAGGCGAGTGGCGTAGAAGGAGAGGCAAGCGACACATCTGACG